TATACAGTCAGTATAGACCTGTTTGACTTTGTGAGCGCATGCTTTAAAGAGAGCTAATTACTTCGCTGAACTTTCATTATCCAATAGTTACTACTGGGAAGTTTCGTGTTAGAAGTTTTATATTCAATATTATAAATCATTATATGCAAGAGCGAGAAAAGATAATAGAAAGTAAAAATCATTATCAAGTATAAGCCATGAAAATCAAAAGGCGATGCAGAGGCCATGGAACCCAACGGCACCAGCAACATTTTTATGAATTACAGTTGATTGCCACCCATTTTAATTTGGCTTTAGCTAGCAGAGATTCTTTTTTTTTTGTTGCCCATCATGGGTTTTATAGGAAGGTTAATCACTTTTGCTTATGGTGCGGTCAGAACTCTTGCTGAACACGTCTGTTCACATCTCCTTCCTGTCTTACCCCTCCCAGAACTAGTATGCTATCTCACCTTCTACTCCGGGATAACCCCTGACTTGGGAATCATTTAAAGCCTACACCTGACACTTGCTCAATCCTGGAGTCTAAGGAATGTTACAGCAATGCTATGGTAAAAATGTATGCAGCAGATACAACAATAGGAATAATAATGATACATTCTAAAGGTTGCTACATACTTTTTCTATGTTACTTTAATAAAAAGACAAATCTCAAAGGTAGCAGAACCACTTTAACTAAGTAATAACCACCTTCTCTCTTTTGTGTGCTTACTCCTTTCTGTGCATTATTTTATCCCTTTTATAAAACATACAATACTTTATATAATGCGTTAGCAACTGCATGTTACAAGTTATTAGGAAAGTACACGGGTGTTCTTAAATCCATATATTAAATTATATCTACATTGAAATCTTAGAATGAACTCTACATCCTCACAGTCATTTTTAGTTTTCTTCCCATCTAAACTGAATGGCTTAGAAATTAGAACTGAAACACCATTCTTTTTATTTCAACAGACGTGTGAAGCGGAATCACTGAGTGTTTACTTTTAAGATTAAATTCTCTGGATTTGTGAAAATGAATCTCTTACGAAACATACACATTCATTTAAAGATTATTGACGTTGTGAAATAATTGCCTCCTTTTAACTGGTGAGCTAAGCCTCTTGACATTTCCCATTATGAATTTGCACTTAACTTTAGCCATTTCCATCATTATTTCGTTCCTATAGTTTTAGCTTAATCCCAAAGGTATAAGCGTCAGTGTGAATTTAGTCACTCAAAACAACAGGGAAGCCAAACCTAACAAAGCTGACAGTAAAAAAAGAATTAAAAATTAAAAAAACTCAAAAGAATATTACAAGCCGCAAACAAGACCTGCTAACTAGGCTCAATGTGACTCACTTGGCATTGGCCGAGTCAGCACTCTCCATGTATTTAGCTACTGCCTTCGTCATATATTTTATTTTTTGTTTTTATTAATATAAATTATAGTAAACATAATTATATGGAAAGAATGAACTGTATAATATTCTTAACAATTACTATAAAAATAACACTTAATGAACATTACTATTCAATCTGAATTATTAGCAAAGTGTATAACACCTTTGCAAAAACATTGCATGGAGAAACTGTAGAAAAGAACTATTTAGCACGAGGGATGTTGCTGGGTTCCAGAAACACCTGGGACTTGAGTCCCAAAGTATAACACGATGACCCCTACAGTTACAGAGAGATATTGGGATGTCATGTCGTATCCCCACCTTTCTATATTATGTCCTTTCCTCTAAACTCGTGGACAGTGTGATGCTGATGCTTTCTAGGATCTCAAGGAAAGCAAAGTCAGAAACAAGTACATGATGCCCAGCCAGTTATTCAATGTGCTACCTAACTAATAGAATATTGTGCAGCAAAATGTTGTTCTCCGGCACTCCTTTCCGAGTGTCACCTGTGCGACATCATGCACTCCCCCAATTAGCCTGGTGGAGCACTGTAATACTAATCTATCGTTCTATAGTAGGCTGCTGTATTAAGAAACAGTGCCCAACTTGAAATTAAAAATAAATAAATAATCCCCCCAATAATATTCACCTGTCCCTTCCACCAACTGGGGAGATCTGGGGCTAAAGAGACCCACATTTGTGGCTTCACCCCCAAAAGTTTTTTTTTTTTTTTTTTTAAAGCAGCATTGATAATATAGGTCTACAAGGTCTTTGTGCAACCTGTATTCATTCAAGAAGCATACACATAAACTCTGTGCAGGTAATCTTGTCAATAGTTTAAAATCTTGAAGAAATATCCATATTTAAAGAATAGGAAAACATTTTGACATTGCTTGAACTTTTTTCTTAACAAATATTGCTTATTTCACCTATCTGGATTGTTTGTACTAAGAAAATGCTAGGACTAGGAGGTGAGCCGGGATCAGGAACCAAGCCGGTAGCCTGAATCAGGAACCAGAAGGGGGGTCAGTTGAACCAAGTAAACAGAGGAATCACAGGAAATGCTCTTGGAAACTCCACCAGAGGTGGAGTTACCCCACAATGCTAATTATTGCAATTTATAAAAACTACAATAATTAGCTTTGCAGGGTTAAGGGTGCTGGGACAGCTGAAGAAGTCTGGGTGCCTATAGTGTCTTTTTAAGCTGTAGTTGTTCTGGTGACTATCGTGTCCCTTTAAATAATCATGCATGACTTGTCTTTTCCTGGTAGATGACATTTATGAATTATAAGTATCTACGGACTTTGGAGTAAATTTTTATAGGAAAATCATATATTGTAATAGTCATGATTTACTATTTGACAAAAGCTTATGTTATGCTTCCTATGGATTTGGAGTGGAACTCAACTGCAGAATAGTGTTTGAGGAAGTGATGAGAGTATAGGTCGATGGAGAGGTTCCTGTAGACTTAAGGAACACAATATAGAGATAGTTTGATGAGACATGTTCCTGTAGCTTAAGGAATAATATAAGAAGGTAGTTCGTTGAGACGAGTTCCTGTAGCTTTAAGGAATACAATAAGAAGGCAGTTCATTAAGAAGAGTTCCTGTAGCTTTAGGGAATGCAGTAAGAAGGTAGTTCGTTAAGACGAGTTCCTGTAGCTTTAAGGAATACAATAAGAAGGTAGTTCATTGAGACATGTTCCTGTAGCTTTGAAGAATACAATAAGAAGGTAGTTCGTTGAGAAGAGTTCCTGTAGCTTTGAAGAATACAATAAGAAAGTAGTTCGTTGAGAAGAGTTCCTGTAGCTTTGAAGAATACAATAAGAAGGTAGTTCGTTGAGATGATTTCCTGTAGCTTTAAGGAATACAATAAGAAGGTAGTTCGTTAAGACGAGTTCCTGAAGCTTTAAGGAACCCAAGTGGGAATTAGCGTCTTGTATTATAATACAGAGAGGATGCAGAGGAGTAATCTGCGAGGATAAGTTCATGTATGAATTACAGAGATAGCTTTTCCATTAATAGTACTCATATGGCACGGAAAGACATTGAGGTGCCAGTAGAAAGGGATAGTCCAATATTTACTTGCCGTAAGTTGGAGGTTTAAACAAGAAGAGTATTCCAAAGGTAATCCGAGTCAAGGTAAGGAGAATGGAGATCAGCGGTTTAAACAGTCCAGGTTCGGTACACGTATTCAGTAGATTAGCGAGATAGTTTGTAGCCGGTCAGAAGACAGGAAGCTTCAAAATAATCAAGCACTTTGAATCTGGCCCGGTTCCTCTAAGTAGCGTGAGGAAGCCGCGTCAGAGAAGGGGGTGTGTCATTGTCTGTGAACCCGGAAGTGTTGCATATTGGCAAGGCCGCTAGTTAAGTTCTGACAGCTTAGCTAGAACTATTTTTACAGAGTTTTGGACACCATGTTAAAATGTTAGGGTTGTTCACTAAGGTGAGAATTTTAGGTGAATTGAAAATATATGTAAAATGTAAGGCCAGATTAGCTGATTGGAAAGCATAGCTGATAGAGAATTTTCCAATTTGGCTATTTTGACCTTCAATTTGAAATTCACTTTAGTGTCAGCTTTTTTCTATTTCAAAAGATCACTTTTCAAATCCAGAATGTTTCAATTTTACAATATTATCATTAACAGTAACTTATTTCTGACTGACAAAGAGATGATCTAATAGAATGAACACTTTTTAATTAATTAATTTATTTCCAAACCGCTTTTTAAAACTTTACATATACAAATCACTCACTTCCGTGATGCAGCGTGGGCAGACAAGTTGCCCAAATTGTCAAAGGAATTCTGACAGAAGTAGCTCTGATCGTAGAACCACAGTCATTGCAAGTAGATCATGGACCTTGGGTCTTCTTACCCAATAACCTATGCAACAAGTTTATGGTTTTTTAAGTTTTGCAATACTTTGACTTTAAACTGATTTATTCACCTCTTCATTCTCCCAATTCTATGTTTAAACACATTATTAGTGTTTTGTAACAATAAGTAAAATTAAACTTGATGCAGGCCTACATGGATCTTTTGTTTTATACTAGCTATCAATGATATTACAATACAAAATAAATACAAAGTCCTGCTGTGTGATCTAGAATCCACCAACACACTCTAACACCTGTGTGTTCACCTCTCTATACACACAAAATAAAGGTTATGCATACATACAAAAAAAGGTGGAGTGGAGTTGGTATTCACATATGATATCACTGCAAAAGACAAAAAGACAAGGCCCAAGCCTAGTGCAATTCAGTAAAACCTAGTACAGTAAACAGATGAATAACTCTAGAATACGGTACTCACAAATATGGAGCCTATATGCAGGGCTCATCGCAGGTGGGGAAGTTAGAAGGGACCCCACTCCCTTATTGATGCTGTAGAAATTTTCTTCTTGACCCAATAAGTTCACTGAACGTGATTTCCAAATAACGGAAAAACTTTATTGGTACAAAAAATAAATTAAAAGCGTGTTAAAAAGTGGTATAATAAATAAAGTCCACATGAAATAAACTTGCAAGACGCGTTTCGCCTGTTGAAAAGGCTTCCTCAGTTGCTTCTTGGTTTTCCCTCTTGTCCGGTCGTTTACATGTGCTCCTCCTCAATTGCTAACTCCGATCACCTGTTTCTACCAATAACTTCCGTCTCTCTTCAATGACACGGTACTCGCGTTGCTTCATGATGATGTCGTCACAATCAGTCCGTATTTGGAACGCATGCTCGCGTTCCAAATTATCACTAAACGTTATTTTCCATAACGCATCCATTGCTATGCATTACATGTTCCATGGGCACATAAAAAAAAAAAAGGAACATCGTTATGTATATTTTTCGTTCACATATTTCACAAGGTATCAAGAATGTGTTATAAGTGAACTATAATGCATTTCAGTTTAAAAAATAGTAACTGCTTGCAGAAAAAGGTGATAATATTAAACATATGAGTACAGACTATATACAGTGCTCAGGATTATAATGTGTATGTAGTTATCAAGGATGTTAGTCAAGGGAAGACATACATTCTTCACTCAATTTTATATGGTGATTGGAGGTGATGAAACTACTCTGGAAAAAAAAAATTATGATATTTTTTTCTTTTTCATTTGAACTGTGTACACAGACAATAGTGTTACAATAATATTAAAATAGAAAACTAGTTCAGTTTCAACAACTTCCAGTGCTTGAAAGATCATGCAGTTAAGTTAAATCAGGGCAGTAATATTTCCTAATCTATTTTTGTGGAACTAGAATGATAGATTTAGTGTAGCTCAGACAAAACTGACAAAATAATTCTGTACAAAATGGTGCAAGAAAGCATTTATATTACTCCTAGGCTCATTTCTGGCACTAAATCAAGATATAAATAAAACAGGAGGATCCAAACATATTATTAAGTAGGGCAAACTTTCCTCGTCTTAGAACCTGGTCATTTGCTGAGAGGTAGCTCCAGATCTCTGGTTTGCTTCAAAAACACCATTGATTTCCATATAGGAAAATTGATTCTTTGATCAGAGTAGAGTTCTAAAACCAAAATTATTCCATCCGTTAAGCATTCTGCATGGCAAAACCAGGGATAGCATTGGGCGAGATTCTAACGCGTTTTGTGCAGACAGCACTTTCTAATTTTTGGCAATGTTTCCTTTAGTTTTTATTAGTAGGTTTTTATTTATGGTTGAGCTCCAAAATATATTTGGTTAAGTGGCTATAAAGTGAGTGTATAATGAAAAAAACAGAAAGTCCGGTTTACTAGAAAATATATAAGATAATAAGTTATTAATATATTATTATTACTATTATATTGATAACACCTGTCTACATAATAGGTACAACAAATAAAGCGTATAACAACTTTTAGCTTGCTGAGAAAAACCAAATAGTATGTTCTCCCACTAGCTCATAAATGTTGTAATGAGTCAGCACTGCAGGCAGGCCCTTTTCTTCCTCTATTATAATTATAGAGAAGGGCTCCTGCAGGTGCAGCTCATAAACATATACAACAATTTGTGAGTGTCAGAAAATAAATTTTTACACTGCTGAAACTGGTACTATGCAAAAGATGGAATCTGACTCTAGAAATGTCATACTTAGTTATATTTGCTTGAAGTATTCATCCTCAAGCAAAGGTGATTCTCTTTCTTGCTTTCTGTATCCTATAGTGGTATAAACCTTGGTATTTTGGGATTACTGATAGCTGGAATGTCTTGTGCCTGATTCCAACCTAATGTATCATTGTCTGTGAAAACTGTTAAATACACATTGTCCAAAAAACCCAAGGCATTTTCGTTTTGGGAGGGACACTTGTAGATTATTTAAATAAATAATCCAGGCACAATAACCACTACAGCTCTCATGAGTGATTATGGTGTCAAGAGTGCCGTGACGTCCTCCCAGAGTAAGTAGTCAAACCATTTAAGAACAGTTTTACAACTTACCTGGGGTCTGCCAGGATATGGGGATGTAATAGGGGACAAGGCCTGTAGTAGAGCATAGGAGCAGTGGTGTATGTGAGGGGTGCAGTGTGTGTGTGTACGAGGGGTGCAGTGTGTGTGTGTACGAAGGGTGCAGTGTGTGTGTGAGAGGGGCAGTGTGCATGTGTGTAAGGGGTGCAGTGTGTGTGTGTGTGAGGGTTGCAGTGTGTGTGTGTGTGTGTGTTTGAGCAGGGCTGTCTTTAACACAGGGCAAGCACGGCAGCTACCCCGGGCCCAGTTACTCTCGGGATGTCCAACGCAGCTGCCCCATGGACCCTGCTGCCCTCAACTATTTTTTTTTTCCCCCAGGGGCCTGCCAATGCAACCGGTGGCCCGCACACTAAGGAGGCCCACTGACTGGTCCATCAACTAAGGGCCACCTGGTGGGAATTTGTAAGCAGTGGCTTGGTCACACGCTCTGGCATTTTAACAGCGTGGCCGGGCCCCTTGCTTTTCCGCAGCGCTGGGAGGAAGTGAAGGGCGCAAGTCACTTCCTCCCACTAAGGAAAGGAGACACACGGGAGACAGACGACGCAGGAAGGAGGGGGGCTGGGCTGAGAGACAGACCCCAACTCCCAACATCCTCAGCCTCCAGACTGGACACCGGGGAAACCACCCTTCTAGCCTGTCAAGGTAGGAAACTGGATGGTGAGTTTAAAAGTGCAAATTTATGTCAGTATGTCTGTGTTAGTGTCAGTATGTCTGTCAGCATGTTTGTCAGTGTATGTGTCTGTGTGTGCCAGTGTGTCTGTCAGTAGTATATGTGTATGTCAGTATGTTTGTCAGTGTATATATCTGTCTGTGTCAGTATGTCTGTCAGTGTATGTATCTGTGTTTGTGTCAGTATGTTTGTCAGTGTATATACCTGTCTGTGTCAGTATGTCTGTCAGTGTATGTCTCTGTGTTTGTGTCAGTATGTTTGTCAGTGAATGTATCTGTGTCTGTGTCAGTATGTGTGTCAGCATGTTTGTCATTGTGTATGTGTCTGTGTGTGCCAATATGTCTGTCAGTAGTATATGTGTATGTCGGTATGTTTGTCAGTGTATATATCTGTAAGTGTCTGTCTGTCAGTGTATGTATCTGTGTTTGTGTCAGTATGTTTGTCAGTGTATATATCTGTCACTGTATGTCTCTGTGTATGTGTCAGTATGTATATTCCCCTTCTATTTTCTCTTTATACTGCCTCTCTTGGCAAATTTATTGCCTCTTTTGGATTCCACTACCACCTGTACACTGATGACACTCAGATATACCTCTCCTCCCCGGACCTCTCCCCTGCCGTCCTGCAATGCATCACTGCTTGCCTTTCTACCATCTCTGACTGGATGTCCTCATGCTTTTTGAAACTCAATCTCTCTAAAACTGAACTCCTTGTCTTTTCTCCTCCTAATACTGATCCTCCTCTCTCGCTCTCCTTTCAAGTCAGTGATATCCACATAAGTCCATCCTTGCAAGCGTGTAGTCTTGGTGTCATACTTGACTCTGGCCTCATCTTTGAGCCTCACATCCAGTTTGTTGCCAAATCCTGTAGGTTTCAACTTAAAAACATAGCTCGCATCCGCCCCTTTCTTACACAAGATGCTACCAAGGAGCTTGTCCACGCTCTAGTAATTTCCCGCATGGATTACTGTAACCCTCTCCTGATTGTTCCCCCCAAAATCCGTATTGCCCTGCTACAGTCTTTAATGAATGCCGCTGCCAGACTGATTTTCTTCTCTAGTCGGTCCTCTCACACCTCTCCCCTCTGCCAGTCCTTGGCTCCCTGTATCCTATAGGAGTCAATTCAAAGTGCTAACCCATACATTTAAAGCACTGAACAATTCAGCTTCTCTTATATCTCTTTACAGATCCATAGGTATGCCCCTCCTCATTCCCTCTGCTCTGCCTACCTCCATGCCTACCTCCTGACTGCTGCTCGCACCCGTACGGTCAACTCGCGCTTACAGGACTTCTCGCGGGCGGCTCCTTTCCTATGGAATAGCCTGCCTTCCCCCATCAGACTCTCCCCTAGTCTTCAATCGTTTAAGAAGGGCCTTAAAACCCATCTCTTCAGGAAAGCTTATGGCCTCCCAGAGTAACCTCTACCTTACATACCTGTCTCTTGCTCTCTCCTATAGGGCAGTGCTTTACTCTATCCTCCAGCTCTGCTCCACTCCCACTCTATTTTATTGATATTTCCTGTCCTAATGTGTTTTATACCCCACCTCCTATAGACTGTAAGCTCGTTTCAGCAGGGTCCTCTTCAACCTATTGTTCCTGTAAGTTTTCTTGTAATTGTCCTATTTATAGTTAAATCCCCCCTCTCATAATATTGTAAAGCACTTCGGAATCTGTTGGCGCTATATAAATGGCAATAATAATAATAATAATAATAATGTGTGTCTATATCAGTATGTCTGTCCGTATAGAGTTGCAAGAAAAAGTAATGATACGGATTTTTGCACAAATTGGTCATAAAATGTGATCTGATCATCATCTAAGTCACAACAATAGACAATCACAGTCTGCTTAAACTAATAACACACAAAGAATGAAATGTTGCCATGTTTTTATTGAACACACCATTTAAACATTCACAGTGCAGGTGGAAAAAGTATGTGAACCCCTAGACTAATGACATCTCCAAGAGCTAATTGGAGTGAGATGTCAGCCAACTGGAGTCCAATCAATGAGATGAGATTGGAGGTGTTGGTTACAGCTGCCCTGCCCTATACAAAACACACACCAGTTCTGGGTTTGCTTTTCACAAGAAGCATTGCCTGATGTGAATGATGCCTCGCACAAAAGAGCTCTCAGAAGACCTACGATTAAGAATTGTTGACTTGCATAAACTGGAAAGGGTTATAAAAGTGGCAAATGCTAACATCCCTGTTAGCGAATCTACAATACGTAAAACGCTAAACAAGAATGGATTTCATGGGAGGATACCACAGAGGAAGCCACTGCTGTCCAAACAAAACATTGCTGCACGTTTACAGTTTGCACAAGAGCACCTGGATGTTCCGCAGCAGTACTGGCAAAATATTCTGTGGACAGATGAAACCAAAGTTGAGTTGTTTGGAAGAAACACACAACACTATGTGTGGCAAAAAAAAAGGCACAGCACACCAACATCAAAACCTCATCCCAACTGTGAAGTATGGTGGTGAGGGCATCATGGTTTGGGTCTGCTTTGCTGCGTCAAGGCCTGGACGGATTGCTATCATCGAAGGAAAAATGAATTCCCAAGTTTATCAAGACATTTTGCAGGAGAACTTAAGGCCATCTGTCTACCAGCTGAAGCTCAACAGAAGATGGGT